TCACTGCTGAGCCATGGATGGATCATAATAACTTTTCAAAGAACTGGTTGAACCAACTAGACTTAAAGATTTTTATTGTTAACTATAAACCTAGTCTTCTCTTTATTCGGTGGTGTCTCTATAGAAATTGTCTTGACCCTACAGTGATTTTTTATGATGATCAACATACGTCCTTTTCCTTAAATTTTCAAAAAAAAAAAGCATTGGTTTCTCTGCTGTATATGCATCCACAAACTACATTTGTAGAAGATCCTTGTGGAACAAGCTTCACCCTCTTATCCCTTATATTCCTTGGTGTTTTATTAGGGATTTCAATGCCATCATCAGTGTTGAGAAGCATAAGGGAAATCATGACTAAGAAAAGGTTAGATAAAGCAGTGTGCAATTTGGAATGACTTGATTTGTGCAACACTTTCTCTTGCAGTGGATGAGGTAAAATTTAAAGTGGAGGAGGCAAAATTTGTGTCTCAATTCAAGTTTCTCAAAATGTGGTCCTCTCATGAGTCTTGTATGGATGTCATAAAGAATTCATGGAATATCCATATCTCTGGTTGTCCAATGTATATCCTTGACAAGAAGTTGAGAATTTTGAAGTATAAGCTAAAGGAATTGAACAAAAACACTTTTGGTAATGTGCAACTTAAGGTTCAAGAAGCTGAGGCAAAGCTAAAGAATATTCAGACTGTTATTAAGGTGTAGGGTCTGAATGACCTGCTTTATGAGGAAGAAAGAGAAGCTCAGGCCAGTCTTGGAGTAGCTCTCAACCTTGAAGAATCTTTTTGGAAGGAGAAAGCTATAATCAACTAGAGTTTCCAAGAAGATAGAAATAAAAAATTCTTTCACACACATGTCAAAATTAAGAACAAAACCAAGATGATATCCACTATTTTGATTGACAACTAGGTTATATCTTAGAAAGACATCATTAAGAGACATGTTGAGAACCATTACAAGTTATTGTTTAATCAGGTTACTAATTTGCAAGACAATGGCTTAATTAAAGAAATAATTCCTTATTTAGTAAAATATTCAACTAACACTTTCCTCACCAGATTACCTTCTGAAGATGAAATCCATTAGGTTATTTTGAATCTCAACTCTGACTCTGCTCTAGGGCCAGATGGTTTTGAGGGGGTGTCGTGGTGAGAATCAAAGACCATATCTATTGACTTAAATAGGCTCACAAATCATAAGATATCACCATCGATCTTTAATTTATCCAAAGGAATGGGAAAGAAAGAATAACCCATAAATATGCAATGCAAAACAAAGCAATAAAGAGATTTAAGGTTTGGGATTGGTTATACTAAGGGAAGGTATTAGCACCCTAAGCATCTATAGTATCTTATATGAACCTCTTGTTGTATTTGTGTTTTTTGGCTAAAGTTGTTTGCTATTGATTGATTGAGGAGATGAGAAGAGAAATATTTTATTATTATTTTTGTGTTTGGCAATCATGAAGTCTTGTGCCTACGTACCAATGAAGGATCAAAACCTCGTAGTTCGGTGCACAAATTGAAAAGGGGTTTGTTAAGGTGGATTTTAATGAAGAAGAGACAAGTTGTCATCTTAATGAGAATACTCAACTAATCCACCACAAACATATGGAAGATGGATCTTTGCTTCACAATGAGAGAAGGGCTCCAACTTGGATATATAATCGACAAGTATGTCACATACCTTTCTTAAGTGGAAAAGAGTCAAAAAATTTATCAACAATGTCGTGGGGTAGGAGAATTACATCTCAACTAGAGATGACTCATGTCTAATCTCTTTGAGAAAAGGTTTTAAAGTGAAAAGCCAAGGTGGCAAAAATTTTGAATGTGGTTTGTGTCTTTTAGTCTTATAAAAGATTTGAATATGCTTAGGTGTCTTGAAGCATTTATTATGAAAAAGTTTGAAAAGTTAATAACCTAATGTCAAGGTTTTTAATGAAATGATTTAAGTTTGAAAAGAGTAGTGGTACATCAACTAAGGATAACTACCTAAGAGGGTCACAACCTAAAGTAAACAATCTAAGGTCAACAATCTAAGTATATACAACATAAGTTAATCAACTTAAAGGGAAACAAGTATCATACAATGGGTGAAAAAATTCAAAGGAAAAATGCAATGCACATGACAACAAAGTCAACCACAAATCCTTTCCCTTGGATCCAAACATAAACCATCATAAATATTCAAGAGTCACAAGCAAATATCAAACAAAATAGACATGATGACAATAATATCAAAATAGGGCAAAGCAAAGTCTCAACATCAAAGTTAAGCTCATGAACAAATAACAATATGTGTACAAAGTAAGGATCAAGGCATGTAAATCAACTCACAAGGCAAAGCATCTCTAATCAAGTAACACACATGAAAGGCGTACAAGCATTCACACTTCAAGAATCAATTTATGAACCAACAAAATTAATAGTCAAAGTGTAGCATGATCATCATATTCATCACAACAACATAATGAGATAATAGTCGGGTAATGAATCATCAACAAGCTATAGCAAGCTAACGAATAATCAACAAGTCATGTGGTCATAATAACTACCGACAACTAATGCAACAATCTTTTTTTAGGGTTTTTAATGCCAAATGATAAAATACATATTTAAAAGAAAAAATAAAATATTTTTGTTTTTTTAAATATGAAAATAAAATAAATAACCGAGAAAACAAATATTTTTTTTGACATCCTTTTAAATATTATGCAAAAATTAAATTAAAATAAAAAAATGAAAAAAATTTAAATAAATAATTAAATTAAAAGAAACAAATGGGATACTATACTCAAGAATAAGCTCATACGCCAAATCAACATTACCAACACAACACAAACCAACAATAAGTGCAACAACATGCCTTCAAAACATGCTTCAACCCACTCTCAATCAAACCATGCCAAGGCATAATCTGCAGCAGTCCATGTAAAGGTACTCAAAGCATCATTCTAAGCGCAACTATATGATCTAGAACAAACAACCTCAAACATCTCTGAGTAAACAAAAGGGCTACAAGTCGGTGGTGAATCATACGATGCTCTACATCAATACCCATGACTGCCAAAAGCCTCACATGTACGCGTTTCTACCTGAAACTTTCAACTCCACCAAACATTGTTGTTTAAGATCTTACATTGACCCGGTTGATTTACACATACCAGACCCACCCGAACTTTCTACTATCATGGGTAGACTGTAACTGTCTATAAGACTCATGTAGTAGAAATCCTATTCTACAGTTCCAAGAGTGAACTCTGCGAGGGTGGCTGGTGGAGAGGTCAACGAAAAGTTTGGGTGGAGTCAAGAGTGTTGTGTATCAACTTTGGTTATTAAAAAAAATGAGAAAAAACTTCATTGTTTGCTGCATATTAAAGAAGAGGAAAAGGAAGGGTATCTCTTGTGGTTGTGGAAGAAGATTGAGGGAGTTATGTATATATGAGGAAAATGAAGTCAAATGAGAGAAAAATCTATGGAAGTGAGTGATTTTTTTTAGAAGAAGAAGTTGACATGAGTGCATGGTGTGAGGTTGGTAACCGTGCGTGAAATAGGAGAATGGGAGAAGTTCATGAAGAAGGAAAATCATGAAGAGAGGTAGTATGAAAGAGGCGACGATAAGATGACGATATCAAGTATCAAAGCATGACCTTTTTTTCCAGAAAAATGCAGCAATTGTTTTTGAAAAAAAAAGGCATAGTGTGCATGAAGGATGAACAAATGTGAGAGGGAAGTCGTGTGGATTTTTGTTTTTTTTATGGAAAGAGAGTATAAAGCTTTAGGTAAGCATGGTCCCTTCTAGAGCATCTCCAACAATGAATCTATTTTTGGGATCTATTAAGTCAAGTCAGCTTGAAGCAACTCAATTAGTTTTTTACTCTAATGGTGCAATTCTGAAGAACTCCTATTGAGTCCCACAATTTTACTTTATATATTAATATTTTATATTAAATAAATAAATAAAATAAATAAAAATTGATATAAAATAAAATAAATAAAATTCAAATTAAACTTATAATTTAAAATAATAATTAAAATTAATCTCAAATACATGATATATAATTAAAAATAGTAAAATTAAATAACATCACATAATTAATCAAACTTAAATTTCATCATCTTCATGTCCAAACCGTTCCCAAATATATTCGACTAGATCTCCTTGAAGTTTACGATGAACTTGTTTTTCACGAATACTTGCTCTTCTTTGTAGTCTCATTGCAAGATTCGGATGAGGACCGCTAAATATTTCAATTGTTGAGTTATTGATATCCACATTATCATAAGAGTAATCAAAATTACTTCCATATGTATGTCGTTCGTCTTCCACAATCATGTTGTGCAATGTGATGCAGGCATATATGGTATGCTTGAGAGTGTCTATGTGTCAGGCACGCGTTGGGCCACGTATAATTACAAATCGAGATTGAAGCACTCCAAATGCTCGCTCCACATCTTTTCTAGCCGACTCTTGATGTTGAGCAAATAATTTTTTCTTTTCTCCTTGTGGCATTGAAATTGTCTTGACAAATGTAGCCCACTTGAGATATATACCATCTGCTAAATAATATCCCATATTATATGGTGTCCCATTGATTGTATATTGCACATTGGGAGCACGTCCTTCCAAAATATCGTTAAACATGTTGGATTGGTTTAGCACATTAATGTCATTGTTTGAACCTGTAATACCAAAAAAAGCATGTCAAATCCATAAGTCGTGTGATGCCACTGCTTCAAGCATGATTGTGGGCTTACCATGTTCACCTCAACAAAATTGTCCTTTCCATGCAATAGAAATTTTTCCATACCTAATGCATACAATCGATGGAACCTAACATACCTGGAAAGCCACGTGACTCTCCCATTTGTAAAAGATGTTCAACATCAGTGTTGTTAGGCTTTCTCAAATACTCAGCCCCAAATACAACATTCACGCCCTTAACAAATCTTTGTAAGCACTCAATTGAAGTGTTTTCACCGATTTAAACATATTCGTCTACAAGGTCAGCAGGAGACCCATACGCCAACATAGGATGTACATTTCTGCAATGGTGAAAAACCCATTTTACCAGTTGCATCAACCTTCATTTGGAAATATTCATCATGATTTCCAAGGGCATCTACAATTCGAAGAAATACATGCTTATGCATTCTGAACCTTCTTCGGAATTGAACATCTGTGTATCCCAGGTTTTCCGAGAAGTAGTCATTGAATAATCGATTGTGCCCTTCTTCACGACCTAGATCTACCGTTGTTATTCTCTTTGGCCTAGAGGAACTTCCAGATCGACTTTCATTCTGAAGTTGTTGTTCCTCATCACTGTCGTCCATAAATTCTTCTTCAACCAACTCCCAAAATTCTTGGTCGTTATTATTTGAATTGTCTGAATCCATTTAGTAAGTAAAAAATGAGAGAAAAATGAGAAGAATAAGATGTGAATGAGAGAATAATAACATAAGTGGTAGTATATATAATGGTTTGAATAACGGCTAGTTTGAATAACGGATAGTTTAAATAACGGCTAGTTTGAATAACGGCTAAATTAAATTAAAGTGCTAGTTTGAATAACAGCTAGTTTAAATTAAAGTGGTTCTAATGACCATTTTGCATAGGTGTTGATAAATTAAAGTGGTACTAATGACCATTTTACATAAGTGATACTAACTACATTCCATATTTTTTTTTAATCTTATTACAATATTTTTCATGAATATCTCGTTGACTATCGTTCATAGTAGAAGTGTCTTTCATCATCATTTGCACTACCCTTAATTCTATCTCGTTATCCTTAGCTTGCGCAAGTCTTTCCATTGTTATTGCTCTTTTATTCTTTGCATCTTGCGTTGCATTTGGAATTTCCTTTGCCTTACCCTTCCTTTTTGCTGTTTTTTGTCCCATTGGACGCTCCATTGGTGAGATGAGTTAAAATCATAACTTGAAGGTGTATTTGGGTTCTCCGATGATGGCTCACTAGCAGAAATCTTTGTTATTTTTGAAGAACTTCCAGTCGATTCTTCGATGATGCGCCATTTAGATTCATCTTTTAACAATCGTCATGCATACTCAAGATTGAATGTTGTACCTTGATCTTGAGCAAAAATAGCATGTGCATTTGCCATGACATCGGTATCCGATGTCCCACTTTTCTTTCCTTTAAGAGCAATTTTGTAACACCCAACAAATTTTTGAACCATGCCATTTATTCTATGCCACCGACATTTTAATTGTCCCCCTAACTTTTCCTACGATTGCCCACGATATTGGTTATAACTAGCAGCGATTCTTAACCAAAAACTCTTAGCCTTTTGATCAACTCCCACAATTGGATCCTTTGAAATATTGAGCCATGATTGGATAAGTCGTAAATCCTCATCCCTTGTAAATTGCTCTCGAGATTTTTTTTAACGACAACTCTTTCTTCTTTTTCAGTACCAACTTGAATAGAAAATGGTGGAACTTGAGTAGAAAATGGTGGAACTTGAGTAGAGAATTCCATACTATTAGAATTCATTTGAGGTCTAGGATACATATTTGAGAATTTGAGAATTTTGAGGATTAGGATTTTGTAAATTTTGCATGTAATTGAACATAGCTGGATGATAATGAAAATGATTAGGATTCATTTGGCCTAAATAGTTGTTGGAAAAAATTAAAAGTTAAAAAAATTGATGAAATTTTGAGAGAGAAATTTCAAATTCAATAGAGAATAAAAGTAAGAGAAAATTTGTGTTGGTAAATATTTTGGATTAAAGCTATATTTATAACAAAAAAAAAATTAAGTTGAAAAAAAAAAGTAACTAGCTGTTGAACAACGACTAGTTTTCATATTATAAAATCAATATTTTAATATGGGAGCCGTTGAAGAATGTTGCATAATTATATGCCGTTGAGCAACATGGCAATGTTGGAAACAAAAAATATGGGTGCCATGTTGGCAAACCCACTTTAACAACTCCCATTGGAGTTGGTCTTAGAGAGAGCGAGTTTTGTGGTATTAAAAAAATGGAAAAGAAAAGTTGGTTTCTTTCTCGTCTTCATGTGTAACCTGGTGCAAAGAAAGAGGTTTGTGGATCTCAAAACTTTGTGAGCAAGCTTGGTCATAAGCACGAAGATGGCAAGAAACTTTATGGTGTATGTTTTCTGTAAGTACCTAAGCAATTCTTGGTGGTTGTAATCTTTGGACTTTTGTAGCATGCATAATATCTTAATTGCATCAACTAGAAAGTGACTTGTGTTACCTTGGTCAATGGGTGGCAAGACAAGTTAGTCATGGCACTAAAAATCTGCCCAGTGAAATAGTTCTATCATGGCTTCTTGCTCAAATCATAACTCCATGCTCGAGTTTCCAAAATCCATGCTCTTGGTATCATTGGAAAGAGGGGACAAAATACTACAACTTTGATGTTAGGAAATTTCCTTGAATCAACTTGGATTATGGACAAAACTGGCCATGAAAAATGGAAGTTTAAACTGTTTGACACTGTTGAAGCGGTAAAGCAGCAAGCAAAAATATTATTTTCGGAAGAATTTCCTCCGGGATTTATCGTCTCCACAGGGATCAGTGTGAGGGAAAGAATGTCGTTCGACAATCTCTACGTCTCTAAGCTTGGGTTTGAATGGTTTGGGATAAAAATTCAAAAGGAAAAACAAACATAAAACAAGAAAATAAGTACATTCTTAAGAAATGAGAAAACTCTTCAGGAGTTGTATTTCGTTCTACCCATCACGTACTAAAAAATATATGGATCAAATGCACGCAACCTAATTCACTCGTCAATATCATCACGTATCGCTCACAACAGAGTTTATCTCTAACACAAAGTCGAGAGATCAACTGTATCGTCTCATTGTTGATCTCTCACACAACTCGACAACACGGAGCATTAAGAATCGATACCCACGTGAATATTAGTCCTAAATCTATCTCTAGCATTTAGAATCTAATAGATGTTCATCTAAGATCGAGTTCGAACAGTATATGTCTATCACAATCCAAACCCATTAAGTAAAAAATCAAGATAACCATCGATAAAGAGTTGTAAAAGAGATTTTATACAAAGATCCATAAATATACATACAATCAAGATAAACTTACATACAAAACCCCAACAAATGAAAAATACATAGAGAGGAAGGAAGAAGAACACAAATCTCACGGTTTGTCAACTCCGATTGAAGTGGATTCGACTCCGGATCGTCAAGATGCACCCTCCAATGTTGTTTCTAAGCTAAATCTACTCAAGAATGTGTTGGATGAAGTTGGGGTAAAAAGTTCTCAAACAACATACCCTAAAAAATGCTGAAAAATCACTTAAATAGACAAAAATGGGTCCCACTCGCTTAGCGAGTGGCCAGCGAACTGTTGTTCGCTTAGCGAACAACCAGCGAACATGACAGCAAACTATTTCTTGTTTCGACCATAACTTTTTAACCGTAACTCCGTTTTTCGTCCGGTTCGAAGTGTTGGAAAGCTTATTCAATGCTATATCTAACAATGCTCCAACATCAATGCTTTATTACCTACAAAAATGAATGAAATTCAATTAAACTCAATGATATTTACAAGAAAACATAATATATACACTATAACGTAAAGTAAACGCATTTATAAACAAAGCGGAGTTTATTCGAACGATTTTAACATAAAGTAACGTTAAGTGCAACAAAACTTATATACAAAAATAGGTAAAATTTGCACTTAACAACTCTCCCCAACTTACCTAATTGTTTGTCCTCAAACAAAGTCGACAACTAAAGGAACAAAAGCAAAATCCAAGAAATCACGTAACAACAAGTTTTGACAAACGGAAAACAAATGCAATGGTTCAATCAAAAATTGATACACGCAAAGTGAATACTCACCACTAAACTTCAACGATAACATAATCACGAAACAAATGCTAAATACAAAAGTCATGCCAAACATTCTAAAACAACACAAGCTCAAACGTGAATCACACCTAGCAAAAACAATCATCGGTAGATGAAAAACACAAAATGAGGGCTTTTTTCACTCACACAATAATCTTGCAAACAAAAGACTAAATTATGCAATCATCCAAAAATCATGTTGAAAACACAAAAGCAAGAATCAAAAGGACTTTCAGGGTTGTAATATGGTCGGGTGAACAAACAAGGGATAATTCCTAAAGCTAATCGAAACAAAAACTTTCCTAAACCTAAGGGAGTGATAAACTCACAAAGTTTCAAACACCAAAATTCCAATCAAACTTCTTCCAAAATCCCAAGTGTTATACCAAACACATAGAACTTATTAGCACAACATTATTCTACTCTTTTTGTTTATCTTTTTCTAAGCTTTTTCAATTTTTCTTTTCTTTTCTTTTCTTTTCTTTTCTTTTTCATATTTTTCTCATTTTTCTTTTCTTTTCTATTTTTCAACCTCATAGCAATCAACAACACAAGTGAATGATCATCATCTCCCCAACTTGAATTCAACCACATCATCATGTGAATACTCCCTACTTTCTAAGGCAAGGTAAAAATTCATACAACAACACAAAGTTGAGGGCTCAAGAAAAAACAACAATCAAGATCCACACAAAAAATGAATTTGATACTCATAGACAAGAATAAAACTCAAACAACATGGATAATGACCAAAGGCTCAAAGGGGTTACAAATGATCACACACTCACAAGGTGAATTGACTATTTGGCTAGGTAGTTGTGCTCAAAATGAAACAAGTGCCTTAATCCTTTTCATGCTTTCATATAATCAACACAAACAAAAGATTAAGCATAATAAAATCCAGTTAAAACAAGAATATTGGTACTCCGAGCATATATGAACAACGAAAGGCTTCCTCACAAAAAGGTGGGAACTAAAGTGATTCACAAAATGAACAAGTATACAAAAGAATGAATGGCATGGAAATTGTAAAAATTCTAAGTATCATGAATATGCTAAAGCCTAGAAAGCGATAAACACATACCTTGAACGTGTACAAAACTTTAAACACTATCATTACCACGCATTCGCAAGTTGAAACACTCAAACTTGGAAAATCACCTCAAATACCTCAAGCTACCAAACAAAAATTTGAGTCCAAACAACAATAAAATACCGGGTGAAAATGGATTAAACAAGTTGTAAAGTGAAGATTTGAGAATTTTACGAATAATCCGAGAACAACTTGTTTAATGAATGTTCACCACACTACCTAAGATAGAAGGAAAAAGTAATAACGAAACAAAAATGGAAAAAACATGCTTGTTTTACGTCGTAAGCTCGACGCCTTTATTGTGCTTAGCTAGTAACTTCCTTCCTTCATGCCATGTGATGTCTCACCGCGCAAACCAAAAGCAAGTGTCCTAACCAACCACTTGAACAAATGTTACGAGAACAAAATATATACAACACTTAAACAAAC